CTCATGTCACTCTAGCAGGAATATAGGCATATAAATAATTAACTTTTGTACAGTGTGATGGGTGACATAAAACTTCTTCAAGGTGTTGCAGGAGCACAGAGGAGGGAGTGACCAGTTCGAGCTGGAGAAGGTGGGGTGGGTCGTGGGGAAGAAGACACACTTCCACAGAGAAGTTGAAGTACGGTGCCAGAGCAGTTGGTTGGTTTCCCTAAGGGTCCACCATCACCCAGCCTCAGTTTATCCATATGAGAAGGTCAGAAGATAGAGGGGAAGGAGAACAGTCATGAAGATTTCTTTGCAGAGAATTGGCACAATGTGATAGTCTCCTGTTCTCCTTTTTCATTCAAGTCAAGTGAGGGGGCATTTTAAATTCTCTCCGAGAGCTTGACACATACCCCAGGGATTTGAAGCACTTGGTAAGGGGTGCGAATTTGTAGTCTAGAACTGCCTAAAGATCCTCCTGGAGCTGTGGACGATGGCAGTGTGGAGAGAAGCAGCCTCTGCTGCCAGGGTTTGGATGGTACCAAAAATGCTGAATGTTTCCTGTGAGCAAGAATGGACATTGGATAGATTAGTTGGGCATGAACCAATTTCAAAGGACTCTGCCCAATAGTATGCCTGCTAGGTTGATGCTAAAGAAGGATATTTAATTAACAGAGGAAATGGCCCTATAAGTTTTATATATGCCAACTGAACGTGGGAAACTCAAAATCATGCAAAACTCAGACAGTCCTTCAAGGTTCAGAAAGTTTTCCAACTCCTCCCTCAGCTCCCCACCTCTACCCCAGACAGAGCCTCTGGGCGCCCACAGCTGTGTGCTAGGCTTACTCAGCAACCGGCAACCTCCTGCGTGCGCCTGGCTCTCTGGGCGAAGCCTTTCAGTCAGTTCATTTCCAGCCTGCTCACCCAGCAGCGGGGGGTGGGTCTTGTGGGGAATATGGGAAAATGTCCACCCTCACCAGGAGCAGAAAGGAGCCCAAATGCAACTCCTTTCTTCTTCCCTGGGAGAAAAGCTTCCTTTATTCACACGAAAGACCATGAGGAACAAAGAAAGCCACAACAATATTGAACTTAATTTCAAGCACAAAATCCTTTCATGAGAACTGTTAACTGGTAGCTAAATTGTCTCTTGTTGATAATAAACAGTGAAGGTGCTGAAGAAACAAAGCAGCACAGGGAAGAAAGGAAGAAACCAAGGGCTCAGGTCATTTGTGAAAATGGATGTTCAGTCTTTGAATAATTAAGGATATCCAAAGTGTCAGGTATTAAAGAAATCCCTAATCTATACTTACGTTAGAGCATGTCATTACTAATCCAGGACATAAAAATTTTATTGAAATAGTTATGGACAATTCTGCCAAAGAATTTCACTTATTGGCTAGATTAGAAATCAAAACAGGGAAATGCTGAATTATAGAATACTATATGTTGAATATTTAATAAATTAATTCCCCATGCTGACAGTAGAAGTTCCAGAAATGCCTGTTGCATGACGGCACTTAATCAATAGTAGTTAATAAAAATGGCTTCAGAGCAAGTGAAAGCCCAATCGGTCTGCAATCCAAAGTAGAAGCATGGAGGAATCACACTCAAGGTTGAAATCATTCTGAGAAAGATTGTTGGTAGTTACAAGTAGTTAAAGGGAAGGAAAAAATTTTGAAGCTTTTGTCAGAGTCGATGACTTTTTGAGGTTTGAGTTTTTAAGAATGAGTTTATTCGTAGAAATTTTGGCCCTGGTTTATAAGCTTTATTATTTTTCTTTCGTAGCTTTCATATCACTTTGAATTATGCCAGAATTTTAGCAACAGATTCTAACTCTAAAATCCATATCACATCTCAAAAGAGGAAGAAGAGGAGGAGGAAACAGAGAGAAGAAAGGAGGAAACAAAGAAGGGGGAGAAGAAGAGAAGGAGTAGGGCGTGGAAGAGGGAAGCATGACCACACACTTCTCATTCATTTTGACATAGTAGATGGATTCCGACATTTGTATGTAAAATATTCAAAAGTGTATCCCTGGATAGATGTATAGTGGATAACAGGAGGCCCCTATTCCTGGAGAACTAAAAATAAATACATACATACATACTATGCTAGTCTTGATTGGACAGAAATAGTTTTAAATTTAAATACAAGCTTAATTTTCTTATGTAATTAAAATTTTTGTCTCCCAGCTGAAATGAATGACGTGGCAGAGAGAAGAAATGGGAGAACATGCTGATGGTGACTGGAAGTTCCTGGGCAGGGGCTTTCATGAGTATTGAGCAGATGAATTGTTAAGACAGGAAGGGAAAGAGATGAAGGATTTGCCTCCATGGTCATCTACATCTGGCTCATGTACATCAATTTTAGGTTTGCTGTCCTGCTCTGGTCTACTGGGCAACTTCTTTAAGGATCTGATCATGCTACTCAAGAAATATATTAGACTAGGCTCAGATGATGTGGTTCCCACTTCTTGGATTGGTCAGCCTGCACTTATCCTACAGGAAAGTCCTATTTGAGCCACCCGAGCTGTAATGTTCTTACCCCAAAGCTATTATGGTGAAAAGAGATTAATATAAATAGAAGACATTGCTTTAAGCCTTATACTTCATTGGTTTGGTGAAGTTTGAGGAAAACAGGAATAAGTCAAGTGTGCTGAGGATCAGTGATTTCACATTCATAAAGCATAAAGCTTATTAAAGGTTTTGAAGTGAAAAGATTTTGTATGAATAAAAAACCATTGTTATCACTGGTAACATATCTAGATATCTTGCCAACATTTTTCTGATTCAGATTATTAGGTTTCATATTAGAACATGATAAAAAGATATTTATTAAAAAGACTTTGTAAACAGGCAAAGCTTGAAAAACAGTGACTATACTTAGGAAATTTCACCCCAAAACAATCACATTTTAGGGTGCTTTTCCCAAATGATAAGAACAAAGTTAGGATGTAATAATAGCACTAATTGAAATTTAATTGAGGGCTGCATATTTATTAGGCAATGTTTCAACCACTTTAAAGGTAGTTGTTATCTTATGTAATTCTTATAAAACTCTGCTGCAAATAAAATATTCCTATTTTACTGATAAAGATTAAACAACCCAAAAATTGTACAGAATATACTGATGTATACAAAAAAAAGTGAAAAGCATCTGAATTTGAAGGTATCAGAGAGTTAATCTCCTATATCCCAACATGAGAATGTTGAAAAGTATTTAGTAGACACAGAAGACAATAAAGCTTATAAAGTTGTTTTAAAAGGGGAAGAGAGTAGTATAACAAAAAAGCATATTTGTAGACTCAAATAGGCTGTCAGCTTAGTTTAAGGAACTCTAAAATAACAAGCTATCTTTTGCTTGTTTTCTTAACTTACTGCTGTGTTGAAAAGCTTTTAAATCTCTGCAGCACCCGTGCAACACAGAAAGAGGTCTCAGCTCCAGGCAGCTCTGTCTCTACATCAGATTGGCTGTACAAACCTGACATCTTGGTTGCACATTTATTATGTTGCCACCACTTTAAGCATAAGTAAAATGAACACATAAACAAACAGATGATGGCAATGGTGGTAATATTTGGAGCAATAGCAATATGCTATGCTTTGTACAGAACTGAGCTTAACATAAATCTTATTTGCCCTTTTAAAACTAACATATTTTATTTCCATTCCTTCAAGAAGGGCTAAAATAGTGGTCAGCAAGCACTTAGCTGGCTTAACTGTGGCTGCTGTAAAATAGGGATCTCAGGTAACACAGGTACTCACATTGGGAAACCACAGGCCACAGAAAAGCACGTAATAGTTGTATGTAATCAAATTTAGGAAAACTGATCCAGAAAAGCACCTCACTATATAGGAGTGCTGTAACAAATCGTTTGCAAACTAGGGAACATATTTATAGTGTGAAATCTCTTAAATTGTCTACTTTTAAATTTGAATTTTTGTGTACATGTGGTCTTCATAAAGGAAGATACTTCTTGAAATTTGTGAAAACCCAGGTAAATCTAAAATAATCAAACATAATATTCCTTCTTTCATTCAACACTGGAAGGGTGCCATGTACTAAAAGCACTGTGCCAGGCAAGAGGGATGGCCATGGGCCATGATTAAGTCCATTACTACCCTTACAGTGTTCAGCTGAGGTTGGGGAGGAGAATTCTGAAGTGTTAAATATTCTTTACTTGGAAAGCAAAATATGAAATAACCACTTTATTTCTATAAGACAGTTTCCCTATGATTTCTTGAAGGCAATGCCATAGATAATTATTCTGAAATCTTGCATATAACCCACAACACAATAATGTTACAAAAATATGCTTTAAACCATAAGAACTTATTAAGTCTTAGGGAGCTAAATGTCCTGGAGCCCTACACTATACTTAGAATTTGAAGAGACTTCAGATCCTTGTGTTCACCCCACCCCTTCTACAGTCCCACACCCTCCTTCTTTTTCAGAGGAAGAAATTTGTATTCCGAAAGGCTTGAAAGCAGCTGAAACTGGAACCAGCCAGGTTTCATCATCAGACTTTTTAGCTGAATGATTCGGTTCCTTCTCTTTCTCAGTTAGAAAATCTATATAGAAATGACACATTTTAGGGTTTGAGGGTTGTTTTCTTGTTCCCTTTTAGTCAAACTTGTAAGCAGAGGTACGGTGACAACAAATGATGGGTGGTAAAAAGAACTTATGCAAGGATAGCGGAAACAAACCACTCTCCGGAGTCTGGTCCCATTAGCCCTTAACTGACCCACGGCTCCCCCTTAAACTCACGAGATTAGGTTTGTGAGCGGGCGAAACTACAGGTCCCAAGATGCAGATCCTTTTTCTTCCTCCTATGTAGTCCGGACACCCCGCTCGTTGCATTCTGGGAAATGTAGTTTCCTTTGGGATCCACCCCTCCATTGACACCCCGCCCCAGGTTGCTTAGGAGACGAGAGACGCCGAATAGTGGTCATTGTCTGCTCTGGGCAAAACAAGTGCAGAGGGAAGTCGATTTCTCTGAGGTCTGCACTTCGAGGGCGGCCATGGACAGATTTGACAGCTCCCTCCAGGACTTTTGCAGCAGTAGGCAATACCAGTTTGAGCTCGGACCCACGGATTTGCTGGAGCGCAAGGGCTCTCTGACCCTCCGCTCCCATCACAAAAAGTACTCGAAGCCGGTGCTGGTGTGTTCCTGGTGAGCGAGCTCTCCGAAATTCCCTGTCTCTGATAATGGAAGAGGGAGAAGAGCAGAAGAGATGAGGAGGAGAGGAAAGGAAAGTCATAGAGAGAGGACAGGGGTGGAGAGGAGGGGATAAACAGAAGAGAATGAGAATAGAGGAAGGGAACAGGAGAAAGAAGGGGCAAGAATGAAGAGGTGAGAAAGAAAAGGATGAGACAAAAGAGGGAACTGGGAGAGGAGAGAAAAGAAAGGGAACATCTTCAAAGGAGAGATGGAGAGGGTAGGAATGAAAGTTGGGGAAGGAGGAGAACATAGGAGACTCGCCAAGAGTAGCTCCCCAGCACATACTGAGACGACCTTCGCCAGCTCCCTGGCCACCAGAGGTCATAGATCACCCACACTCAGGATCGACTGGAGCGTGGTTGCAGAGGCCTGGAAATCTTGTTTCTGAGACCGCTACTTACACACAAAAGGCAGTGTCCAGGGACACAGCAGGAGGGAGATATTTGTTCAGATGATGACCTCCAGGACTGTCATTTGGGAGGCAATAAGGGACACTGAATGATTTGAAAGATGTTCCTGAACATCATTTAGGCTACTAGGACTCTTTTGGCCAAAGACTGCAAACTGGTTTCCCACGGGGTAAGGCCAACAGTTTGTTTGGCATGCACTGTTTTCATTTTTTCTTTTAAATAATTGCCCTCATTTATTTTTTATTTTATTTTATTTTCAATATGTTTTTATTGATTTTTTTTTTTTTTTAAGCAAGAAAGGGAAAGAGAGTAGAAACACTGAAGAGACATACATCAATTGGCTGCCTCCTGCACACCCCCTACTGGGGATCAGCTCACAACTTTGGGCATGTGCCCTGACTGGGAATCAAACCAGGACCTCTCAGTCCACGGGACAATGCTCAATCCACTGAGCCACACTGGCTGGGCTAATTGCCCGCATTTAAAACCAGAAGATTACACATAAAAATGCAAAATTGTGTCCTTTCTTGAAAAGCTGAAAGGCTGGGCAACAGGATTTTATTCTTCCTAGCAACTATAAATGTACTGGAGCTGAGTGCTAGTTACTAAAGATGATAGTTCTCTTTGATAATTTCACTCATGCAGGTTCTTGCCTGGCTCCAGAAGGCATTTGTTTTACATCCTTTGCTTTAGACCTTGAGCTTTAAATTCACTTAGAGATTCTTTTGTTTTACTAAACATTGCAATAACCAATAGCAAAACCATAACATATAACTGGGAGAAAAACGGGGACTTTTAAGGCAATTACGATTCTGTTTCTTGGGTCAATTTTACTGTCTATACTATTGACAATAATTCCTTTTAGTATTTGGAATTCTCTGGGGGAGAGAGCAGGAAGAGAAAAGTGAAAAGAGTCTCAAATCTTATCTCTTTTATACTTTTGCCATTGAATGATGAATGATTTTGACTTAGCCCTAAAGCTAAGCCCTGCTTGATCCTCTTCATTTATACAATGTATGAGCCCTGCAGTTTCTGTCTTGCAAACTTTCTACAGCCCATTCCTTACTTCTCCAAAGCCTTCCTTTTACTTCTCATCTCTAAACCTGACTGCCTATTTTAAATTCAGTGTGAGAGGTTATATATATTTGAAATTCAAAGCTACATTGGGAAACAAAATCCGCTTTTAGCCTCATACAGGGCTTACCTCACGGCTCTCAAGCAAAACACTTAGCTCTTCCATGATTCTGTTACTACATAAGGATTTAGGTCATGATATAAATCACTACTAGAAATGATTGTTACAGAGAAAGATCTTTTTCAAGTGGATAGTGCTTTGTACTTTTCTCCATTGCTATGAGAAGTTGCCTTGTGAACATTGTAGACATCAATAGCAAAACCACAGAAGAATATAAATGAGAAGGAGGTGAGGAACTTGGTAGGGGAGAAGGGTGGTGTAATGCTGAAAGTCATTCTGGCCACTGCTGGAAATATAGAGAGTTCTCATACTGTTGGTTTTAGAAAAAAGGTTTGGGAGCAGGAAGAAATAAGAGACACTGAGATGGATAAAGGATATTCAGTGAGATAATTTGTATAAAGCATTTAGCATCATGCTTGGCACATAGTAAGCAGTCAATAATATGTGGCAGCTAATACTATTTATTTAGGATAACATAATGGTTAAACGCTTGGGCTCTAGGTTGAACACCAGCTTTACCACTTTCCATATGACAAGTGACATGACCACTCTGGGCCTCTCTTTCTGCAACTATGAAATGGGGATGATAGGATTCTTGTAAGATTAAACAAAGTATTGTATGTGAAGCACTTTTAACATATAGCCTGGCAAACAGTAAGCACAATAATTGATATATACATATATAGGACGTGTTCATTGACCTCAAGGAATTTTATAGGCCAGTAAAGAGAATGTCAATAATCCTATTTGCGCAAAATAGAGATGAGTATATGAGGCTGCAGGAATAGGAAGGGAAGGTTAGTGTGTGTGGGGGGGGGGGGAGGGGGGCTAGTTTTCTGAGCAGGTTTTAGAAAGAAGAATAGGTGCTTCATAAGCACAAAAGAAAACAGGCAAATGCAATGGAATAGTAAGAAGCAGCATCATAGGGAAATAGAAATAGTTGTCGGTAGTGGGCAAATACAGCTGATTCTCATCATTTGTGGATTTAGCATTTACAAATTCGTCTACTTGCTAAAATTTATTTGTAACCCCAAATTAATACTTGTAATGTTTTCTTGGTCATTTAAGGACATGTGCAGAGAGGCAAATGTTTTGAGTCACTGCCCACACACATTCCCAGTTGAGGTCAGACAAAGTGACATTCTGTCTTCTTGTTTCAGTGCTCATACTGTGAATGAGTATTGTTTTCGAAGTCTATTTGGTGCCATTTTTTTTTTTTTTGCATTTTTGTGCTTTTTGAAGGTGATTTCATTGTTAAAATGGTCCTGCAGCATAGAGCTGAAGTGCTGTCTAGTGTTCCTTAGTGCAGGAAGTGTGTGATGTGGAGAAAAGTAGTGTGTTACATAAGCTTCATTCAGGCATAAGTTACAGTGCTACTGGCTGTGAGTTCAATGTGAATGAATCAACAATATATATTAAATAAGAAGTCTTCAAATAGAAGCACACATAAAACCAGGTTTTATGGTTGATGAGGATGGCTCACAAGCACCAAATTCTGTATCTCTGAGCCGGCTATACTGCTGGCATTCTTTTTTTCTTCCCATATCCCACCAGTCACCAAGATCTGTCCTTAAAAAATAAACTGCTTGGCCCTGGCCGGTTTGGCTCAGCGGTTAGAGCATCGGCCTGCGGTCCTGAGAGACCCAGGTTCGGTTCCCGCTAAGGGCACGTACCTCGGTTGCAGTTTGTCCCCGGCCCTGGTTGGGTCGTGTGGGTGGCAGCCACTCGATGTGTCCCTTTCACGTCGATGTTTCTCTCTCTTTCTCTCCCTCCCACACTCTATCTGAACAAAAAATGAAAAAATGTCCTCGGGTGAAGATAATAAAAAAATAAAATAAATAAAAAAATAAACTGCTTGAAGTTCAAATTGTGTAAGCTTCCAAACAAATAATGTCTTTGACCATTTTGTTTTTATGCATTCTGATCACAATTGTTTGCTTTATATTGACTTATTTTATTATATATTGAAGCTTTTATTATACTTTAGTATTTTATTAAAGATGAACACCTACTGTTCATGACACCATCTGGATGGCCTTTCAACTGAGTATTTGATAAATTAAGTGCCTACACCTATGGGTTTGCAAAACAGAATTGGTGACTGGGAGAAATTCTGACTTGTCTAGTTTAAGCTTTTGGATGATTCCTATTTTCTGTTTATGTGGCATGTAATACCAATCTGTTTGACTTCACTACATATATTTAAAATGGTTGTGTGTAACAGATATAATGAAGTGATATGCGCAGAATGGTTTTTAGAGGTATCGCTGGCCTATTACTGGGATGAGACATTGCCCAAGCGCCATGTCTTCCTTGCAGCTTGAGTGGTGGATGGAGAGCCATGTCACTGCATCGCGCCTTGATGCTTCTGCGTGAGAGAAGCCTTTCCAGAGTGTATCTTTCTCTAGTCATTTCTGTAGCATTTATGGAGCTATATCATCAGATGATTGCATCAGAAATCCTTAATTGAGGGAAAATTATCTCTTGGGATATCTTCCCACTCACTGGAATATGTAATAGTAAGAACCAGAACAATTGTATTTATCCTTAGTAAACGCTCTAGTGTGAGGCTAGTTCTTATTTATTTATTTATTTATTTATTTATTTATTTATTTTCTTCTCTTCTCTTCTTGGCCAAATCAACATTCAGTAATAAGTGATGATAATTTAAAGCAAAAAAAAAAAAAAAAAAGTCATTTTCATCCCCATGGAGATAGTTCATGTTCTGGTCTCCATGGTGACAGAGTTTTAAGGGCTCAGGTTAATTTTATGTATTTGTTATTTCAATTACTTTTCTCTCCTTCCTAAATTAAAGAGCTGGGCATTTTATACTCTCCCAACCCTCCCCTGTAATAGAAAGAAAAGAGAAAAAGAATGGGAAAAAAAGGAAGAAAAATAAAATATGATAATTGTGGGGTAGGGCTAACATGAATCCATAAAAACCAGAGTTGATTTTTATAGCCATAATCCTGATACAACAGGATGACATCAAAACATGTTTAGTCACCTCTGCATAAGTGAGCTTAGAGAGGTATAATGCATTAGATTTCTGATTAGAATGGTAAAGAATTTAAAATGGGAGCTAAGCTGTGCTTTTCCTAGTTGTAGTGTGTGGTTTACCAGGGACTAACAGATAATAAGGAGATTTTAAAGTAATCTAGGGACAAATGATATTTACCCTTTAAAAAATATTTTTAATTCTTAACTCATACTTTAAAAAAATCTAAATTATAATATCACGTGACCTTTTGAGATGATGTAATAGTAGACCAATGACATGGAAATGTATTCACTGACTAGTGGGTAGTAGAATTAGACATCTGCATACAACTGAAATGCAAATGTAA